TTATCACTAGCGTTTTTTACGGATCTGTGAATCTTAAAGCCATGTGATATTTCAAATGATGTTCGTTTTGTCATTGCATTGCTTCTGATCTTCCTCCTTCTAAGGCTTAATCCTTAGACTTTGTGAGACATGTCTTGAGGATGAAAATGCAGTAAAATAAAATTCTTGTTTTTCTAAAGAAAGGACCCACGGTGACTGGTGTTTCATAATGAAGACAGTGGTCAGGTGGGATGTGGTAGATCACCTAAGCATTTTGAAGGAATGTCACGATCACTGTCTTTCTCCCAGTGGCGGCAGGAATCTGTCAAGTGTCTCGGAGCATTTTAGTATTTTACTGACTTTCAAGTTGCTTACTCTCTTGTTAAATATTGAGACTGTTGTTTTCTGTATTCTGTGTGTTTCCCATCTTTGGCCTTGGAGGTCAGGTTCATGACTCATCTGCTGAAAGGCAGGCCCCTCCCTTCCCCCACCCCGCGTCTGGAAGGTGTTTGCCAGGAGTCCTCTCCGGGACTGGCCTGTCGCGTCTCACCAGGCTCTTGATGTTTGGCTTTTATGTCCTTGTCAGTTTGGAGGCTTTCATTCTTCCTTCTTTTCCAGCAGTTGTGGCCTGTGGCTGAGAGGTTGGCTGAATCAGTTTTTGCTCTTTCCAGTGATGTGTAGTAGTTTGGTGAAACAGTATTTCTGGCAAAACATGTTTCATTCAGTTTTAATGACCAGCGAAATGAGCGTGGTTCGGGCTTCCCATCTTGGCCTGAACGCTTATCAAGCTACATTTCATTTTGAAAGATAAGCATCTTCCCTTGTCCTGGGTCTTATACTGCTTTTAAGACATTTTGTATCCTGTAAGTTTTCCTCACATTTTGATTTGAACTAATGACCCTTCTTAGAAAGTACTGCGAAAGTAGCTGAGATTTTAAAGTAACTCACTGATGGTGCCGGTGGACTGTTTTTTCTTTCCTCGCTTTAAATCCAGCACTGCTGAAGTGAAGTCAGTGAAGTCACCCACTTGCATGGGTGGATTTAACCCTCCAGCCTTTGCCTGGCACGAGAGATTATTAACTCAAAACAGTGACGCTACAGCTAGAATCGGGATTCCTTGAAGTCCTGTAGTGGTAACGTGGTGTTCATGGGTTTTTTTTGGGAAAATGACACATTAATATCAGTATTCCCAGTAGGATACAAAATTAAATTAATTCTACCCCTTCTCTGCCCCACTTTTTGACCCACCTTCTGAAGAAATTGCTTTTCTCCATACTAGTAGTGGTGGTTCTAGTTTGTCAGGTTTAACAGTAGAGGCAGAGCTTTAAGAACTTAACTGTAGGGATTCCCAGGTCAGGATTTCCATTAGTAATAAAGTCAATTTGACATTTGGGGCTTGTTCTCTGAGGCTATTTAAAGTATTTTTTTCAGCAGAGATGAGTTGTAGCTTGTAAAACAGGTTAATTGGTAAAAAAAAGTGATAATGTATATTTTTACTAATTTAACTTTATTTTTGTTTTTTTTTAACATTTTTTTATGTCTAAACATATTCTGAATCCCCCCCGCCTTTTAATTAGTATTTAGAAATCGGCAAGTAAATTTGTATGTTGCGGTTGTCATATACTTTTTGGTTTCATCTTGAAACCGCCGCCCCAGCATGAGCACTTTAAATTCTGAGGACTTATTTTTTTTTCCCCAGGGAATTTGGGTAATTTACTAGATTTGATATCCAGGGATAATGGTTCCCCAAGACCATTGTGTGGTGCCTGACAACCGCTGGAGGTCCCAGGGCCTCTGCTTCACGAGGACCTGGGAATCAACTGGTTTGGGAAACACGCTGGCAAGCTCTCCTGTGGAGCCCAGGGAGCACATGGTGCACTGCTGGGCATTCAGGCCACCACCATCTGGCGGTCCCAGAGCAGGCGGATTTGGGAGGTGGCCAGCTGTGCAGGTCCCTGACCGCTTCCCAGGGGTAGTAGATTACATTGCGTGGTTTACTCCTGAGGTTTACTTTAAAGCCAGTCGAGTGGGTTGGGGTTTGGGTGCTGAGCGCATCTGAAGGAAAATGCAGCACGTCTCAGGAGAGTTGTCCGGCTTGTCTCCCAGAGTTGTCTTTAGCAGACCCTAAGACATTAATTTGTGACATTAAGTTTTCTTCCTGCCCTTTGGTTACTTCAGTGTTTTTCAGTACCATGACTTATAAGAAAGTACTATTTACTGTTTGATTACAAGTAATATCTGTTTATTCTGGAAAGAAGAAGGCTATGCAATAAAAAGAATATCATTCTTTTATATTTTTATAAAACTTTATATTTTTATGAAATTTTAATATACACTTAATAGACATTTTAATATAAATTTACCAATTTTTATGTATGTGTGTATATGATACACATGTAACACGCATTATGTTGTATTACCACACAGGGACATAATGGATGTAGTTTTTTTCTTGACTGAGCAGTATATTGACAACATTTCCACACTAGCAGTATACTCCTACACCACACCCATGACCTTTCTTTATTTAGAAAGTAGTATCAGGATGACTTGAGGCTAGTTGCATGTTGTTTGGTGTTTTTCTCTTTAATAACTCACAACCCCCATAGAATAACTGTGAATGTTCTCCCCTTCTGTTTTTTTTTTAAATGTTGAGCCTTCTTTTAATGTATTTATTTTAATTTTTGGCTGTGTTGGGTCTTCGTTTCTGTGCAAGGGCTTTCTCTAGTTGTGGCAAGCGGGGGCCACTCTTTTTTTTTTTTTTTTTTTTTTTTTGCGGTACGCGGGCTTCTCACTGCTGTGGTGGCCTCTCCCGCCGTGGGGCACAGGCTCCGGACGCACAAGCTCAGTGGCCATGGCTCACGGGCCCAGCTGCTCTGCGGCACGCGGGATCCTCCTGGACCGGGGCACAAACCCGCGTCCCCTGCATCGGCAGGCGGACTCCCAACCACTGCACCACCAGGGAAGCCCAAGGGGGCCACTCTTCATCGCGGTGCGCGGGCCTCTCACTGTCGTGGCCTCTCTTGTTGCGGAGCACAGGCTCCAGACACGCAGGCTCAGTAGTTGTGGCTCATGGGCCTAGTTGCTCCACGGCATGTGGGATCTTCCCAGACCAGGACTCGAACCCATGTCCCCTGCATTGGCAGGCAGATTCTCAACCACTGCACCACCAGGGAAGCCCTCCCCTTCTGTTTTTAGTCTAACCATTACTCAAGACATTACCATTTACATAGGATGGTTGGCTTAGATGTGTGAGGGAAACTCAAGTTTGAGTTTTCTGTGAACTAATTGAACCTTTCCTCATGTACTTTGTTAATTCAGACCTTGTAATATTACATATTTAGCATAATGGAGGTCCCCTGACCCAGTTTACCAACTAATCCCTGGCCAAAAGCAGCTTTCAAGCTGGGTCTAAACCAGTCTCGCTGTTCTAATTGAATTTATGATTTGATTTCTTTTAACGGTGTTCTCAGGAAGTAAATTGACTTGGAAACCTGAGTTTTCCGCTCCTAAGTAGCAGGTTAAAGAATGCTTAGAACCTTGATTGGAAAAAGCCCATTGTGGGAGTGAAGTACATCCTTTACTGTGATATCTTAGCAGTGGATTATTTCACTGTACCAGCAAAACAGAGTCTGTCTTCTTCCCACACAGAAATAATGGTTAGATGCAGTGCTTTGCTGGGAGATGTGTTTTGGTGGAAGTTATATGAGTTAGTGGGTCTGTTAAGCCAGCTCTTTGCAGCCAGAATGAACCAAAGGTTATCTTGACTGAACTGGGCTGGCCTAGGCCAGGGCTGCCAGCAGCAGCTCAGCTGATGTTTCCAACTCCTCTCATCCAGTAGCTGCTCCTTCCTCCTGTGGCACCTGTTACTGACTCATTTGGGCTTTGGCCCTGGCTTCCTCATTTTTCATCCTCTGCCTTGTCCCTGAACTTGTAGAAGAAGGTGAGGGTGGTCCTACACTACAGAATAGATGCAGGGACTGAAAGCGGGCAGTCTGTCTTACCTACTCCATTCAGAGCTGCTCTCCCAACTGACCAGGCCAATTTAGATAACCTTTGGTGCAAGTCTAACAGTCAGAACTTCACCTAGTTAGTACTTTCCAGGCGTGATTATTTCATATTTGTCACTGCCACTGTATTTGAAGCTACTGACGGCAGGGACCTTGTGGCCTTCTTCAACTGTCCACTCCACCCTCCAGGGTGGTCAGTGGTACACAACAAGTGGCTAATGAGTATTTGCTGAATGAGTGATCAAAGTAAGGACTGAATTTGGCTTGCCTTCTTGTTGATGACTTACTTGGACAAATAGAAAATATATAATGGGACAGTCTCTTCAAGCCCACCTGTTCATTTTGTCCACCCAACCCTCCTCAGTGTTTTGGGGTGGAGGCAGAAAGTGGGGACAGAGGTTTTACTTAAAAATTATAATTTACTTTTTGAACTGGGTCATATAGTTCAAATAAAAAACTAAAATACAGAGTTACTTTTCCAGCGTTTTCCTTGGCCCCCTTTTCCACTCTGCAGTGGAACCAAGAATGTAATTTTTAGACTTAGAAGGAGATTAGGAGGTCATCTGATCTAATCCAAGGATGGAAGCCTGTAAATTAAACCTGAAATCCAGGCTGTTCCTCAACTATAAATTAAGATTCCTTTAATTATATTTTTTGTTGTGTTTTTTTGTTTTTCTTCCCTCCTTTGTGTCCTTTCATTATTCCTTTTCTAAATTTGGGCCCTTAACAATACTGTACACTTAAAATTTGTTAAGAGGGTAAACCTTATGGTAAATATTCTTACCACAAAAGGAAAAAAACAGCCACAAAACAGTAGTTATAATAGAGGGTGGGAGAAAACTTTGGGAGGAGGTGGATTATGTTTATGGCCTTGATGGTGATGGTTTCACAGGTATGTACTTATCCCGAAACTCATTGAGTTGTATACATTAAATACGTACTGCTTTTCACATGTCAGTCATACCTCAATAAAGTGGTTAAAAAAATAAATGTGTGTCTTTTTTCCCACAGGTACCACAAGAGCCAGGCCATCTATCTGGAGTCAAAGGACAACCAGAAATTGAGTTGTGTGATCAGCTCTGTCGGAGCCAATGAGGTAAGACTGAACCTCTGTCACCCTTTAGGAAAGCAAAATGGGACAAACCTGCAATGTGAATGCCACCAAGAAAGTACGGTGGAATCACAGTGTTGTATGTGGGTTAGATTCTAAAGTCGGCACTTTCAGGCTGAAATTGCACATAGGCAAAATCACCCTTAAAAATCCCTTACTTTGCATGACTGCAGTTTATGCAGGTTTGTGTAAGCCTTGTGGATTTGTGAACTCCCTGCAGAGTAATTGAATTGGGCACCACTGAGATAGACTGCAGGAAAGAACACAAGGCAAGTTGGTGTGATGTCTGCGCATTCAAATCCTGCTGCTTTTTGAGGCAGCCATCTACTGAGGATGGGACTTGCCATTGGAGCATACTCTGTCTTTGCTGTTATTTCTCTTGAGCTTTCATGTGCACTCAGATTTGTTTCATGCTCTGAGGATCTAACAAGGCACCTGACACAGGGTCTGGCACACAGTAAGTGTTCAGTAAATGGGTGCTGGCCTGATCTGACCCACACACTACTCTTCACCTGCTGTCTCTCAAATCCGATGTGTCCTGTTGTGCTTCTGAGCAATGAGCTACCAGGCTCATACCCTTAGGGACTGGTCTCCTCCAGTCTCTCTTATAGGATGGGGGCTGGTTGAAAGTCAGCTCTGAGGGTCATGCTGAAGGATGATGTGACTAGCCTATGAGTTCTCGGGCTGACCCTTCTTTAGGAGGGTGTCAGCAGTGTGTAACTGGTATTGTTAGTAGTCAAAAAACAGTTTAAAACGTTAATAGCCTGTTTGGCTTGATCTTTTATCAGTCCACAAATGTCTGCAAAGAAATTGATTTTTATGTGTCTTCCCTCTGTAACTTATTCGTGCCAGAGCATAGTAAGTCTAATGAAGCTGGATTATGAAATAACTTAAGCCTATTCTATTCTCCCAGCTTCCTGAATTGAAAATGCCCTCAAATGTGACAACTAGTTAGCAAAATGATTGTTTGCTTAGAAGTTAGGGAGAGCCTTCCAGATAAATGAATGTCATTTTCCTCTGGGCTCGCAACCTGTGTGTCACCCTAAGCCAGGTCGGAACAGGGCATCTCAGAGAGCCACTGCCCTGGCAGGAGGCTTTGCAGTTTCACAGCGGAGCACGTGTGCCTGGCCATGTGGGCTGCTGCACAGAGGGTGTGTGGCCTCCTCGTCCCTAAACCTAATTTCAGAACCCATGCATTATTCTCTGTGACACCTCAGGACTTTTCAGGAAAACAAATGCAAGTTAGATTTTTTTCTCTCTCTCTGTTGAAGATTGTCACCCTTTGACATAATAGAGTGTTAGCGAAGTCTGACAAGGAAACGGTGACACTGAGACATGTCTCCTGGAGGGGAGAAGCCTCAGTGCGTCGGAGGCTTGCAACGGGGAAAACATTTCTCACTTCTTGGAAGTATTCCAGCTCATTTTTTCAAGTGAAATCCTAAGTAACACTGAAGCTACTTGGCTTCTGCATAACTTGACTCTGAGCATATTTGGTACGTGCGTCTGAGCATGTTGGTGACTAGCTATTCAGCTCTCCTTGGGGTCAGTTTTCAGTTTAAAATGGTTCTGCAAGGTCCTTTAGAGGCTTAGCTTCCGGTGAGGTCTTTATTTTTAAACAAGTGTATTTGACTTTAAAGTCTCTTTGTTGTTAAATAATCACGGTAAGGAAATAGAAACTGAGAACAGCTTTCTCTTTTTCTGAATAAGCTTTTTTTTAAAAAAATAAATTTATTTATTTATTTTTGGCTGCGTTGGGTCTTCGTTGCTGTGCGTGGGCTGTCTCTAGTTGTGGTGAGCGGGGCTACTCTTCATTGTGGTGCACAGGCTTCGCATTGCAGTGGCTTCTCGTTGCGGAGCGTGGGCTCTAGGCGCACAGGCTTCGGTAGTTGTGGCGTAAGGGCTTCGTTGCTCCGAGGCATGTGGGATCTTCCCAGACAAGGGAGTGAACCTGTGTCCCCTGTATTGGCAGGCAGATTCTTAACCACGGCGCCACCAGGGAAGCCCTGAATAAGCTCCCCC